TGGGCAAAGTTTCCTTACTCCACACACACACACACACACTCACACGCCTCCGTTTACCAGCAGTAAGTGATCGATTGGTGGATCGCTTTCCGGGGGTAATAACCCCTTCAAAAAAAAAACAAAAGTAATAATAATTTGGTCGCTCAACCTACGGCTGTTTGTGGGGGACGCTGCTGTGCGCAATTGGCCGCCGCGTTTCGCCCACAAAACACACAGTCACTACACTTCACAGTCTTGACGACGTGATGAGGCACTGTATCAAATGCAAGGATTATTATTATTATTATTATAATCAATCAATCACTCAGCCTTGACTTGACACCGTTGGCTTTGATATAAAAGATAGACAGAAGGGAGAGAGAGATAGAGAGGAGAAAAGTCGGGGTCGGGGACGTAATTTAATGAATAAACCGGACACGCTCAGCTCTGAGCTCTAAATCGCGCCGTCTGCAGTGAAAATCAGACTGTCAGGGAATAATTACACGCCGCTCTTTGCCAAAATGGATTGTTTTGTGTTAAAAGATTAGCAAAGGCTGATTAACACCCTTCCGATTCGCGAGGAGTTTGAGCGAGGAGCAAAGGAATAAGGCGGATTAACTCACGGGGGCAGATTTTAATGGAAAAAAACCTGACCGGCCTCAGAAATATGTTCCGGTCGGTCTTCACGCAGCTTTTCGGAGCTGTTTGACCGGTGGCAAAACAGCCGAGCCGACGTGGGAAGGAGTCCCAGAGGGTGGAGGTGGGGGCGAGGGGTGGAGGGGGGGCGCAGAGAGGATAAAAAGGCTGTGAAGCTGTCCAGCGGATATCTGAGGGGGTGAGAGGCAGATGTTTCGACCTGAACCGTGAAGAGGAAATGAGTTTAGAGTGGAAGTCTGGACTGTGTCCGCGCTTTATCTGCTGAGCATCAGTCTGTCCGACGTTGCCCTGGGCTGGAGACTAACCCGTGAGCCTTCGCCGCTCTCCTCCCGTAGCCCTTTCCTCCCGGAGTCCCGGAGCTCAGCGGTTAGACCCCTCGCCTCCCGAGCGAGAGGACCCGGGTTCGATTCCCGGGCGGATCAGGCCAGGGCGAAACCTTGGGCAAGTTTACCATATCCCCCCACCACCCACCCCCCCCACACACACACACACACACACGCGCACACAAAGTTATTTCCGTACTCCAGTCACTTCTCTTCACAGCGTACACCCGTGAAGCGCTTTGAGACGTCTCGGAGACGTGAGGAGGCGCTGGGTCAAGGGCGGGGATTAATTGTTGTTAATTATTAATTATTATTATTAATCATAACAAAGTCCCGGCCGGCCCCAGGCACACGGCAACTGGCCAGCACATCACGGGAGAAGCCAACACGTCCAAGCCAACGATCGGGAGACGGAATAACAAGCAAGTCCCACTAAATGTTCCACTGCTGCCATTGCCACTTGTCGGAGGACTTCCGGGACGGTTATCAGCTGAAAGAATTACGTCCCTGCTATCTCCACAGCGGGCCGTGAAGAAACAGAACCGATTATAAGTCAAACCCCCACCCCCCCACACACAAAACACTCCGCAAAAGCAAGCAGATAAACGGGCAAACCACTCGCAACCTCTCGAAGCCTAAAACTCCTTGATTTAGGGAAGACTGCAGCTCGGCTTCTGCACCTGTTTCCACGGGATACACCGGGAAGCGAAGTGACTGTGCGCGTTGTTTCGTGGCCCGGTGTCGCCCCTCAAACAGTCTTGGAAACTTGCTTCGGGTTTTAATAATAATAATAATAATAATCCTTGCATTTGATATAGCGCTTTTCACGTCGGGAGGACGTCCCAAAGCGCTTCACAGAACACACTGTAAAGTGAAGTGACTGTATATTTGTGGGCGAACGCGGCGGCCAATTGTGCACAGCAATGTCCCACAAACAGCCGTGGATTGAAAATGACCAATTTATTATTGTTTTTGGTTTTGGAGGGACTATTATTAGGCTCTGTGTGGAGTAAGGAAACTTGCCCAAGGTTTCGCCCTCTGCCTGGAATTGAACTCCAATCTCTCGCTCGCAAAGCGAGTGCTCTAACCACTGAGCTACAGGACTCCACAAGTTTTAGTCCTGCCTCGGGAATCGAACCCAATTTCCTCGACACAGACCTGACGAGCCACACGTTATATATTACCTGTCGAGCTTAAGGTGCAATTTCCTGCTGATCAGAGATCACGGGTTTAATAGACGGAGCAAACATTGTATTACGAGGCCACTCGAAGCCAATTTCAGACGGTCAATAGCAGCTGTGGGTTTGATCTCTCCCCGGGAATAGGTTTGAGTCGCCTGAATCATAACGGGGGGAGCGAGCACTTTGATATTTATCTATCGCGCGTGTACGATGACGTCGTTTTGGTCTCGAGAGACGTCTTCGAGGGCTTTGCGGGAATCGTCGTAGTGTGCAATGACCGCGTTTCACTGACGCACATCGACAACGAGAGCTTGAGTTGACAAAGCAGCTGCCGAGCGCAATCGGCCGCCGCGTTTCGCCCACGAAACACACGGTCGATTCACGGTACGATGTATATTCCCTGAAGCGCTGCGAGAGGTCTCGAAGACGAGGGTTATTGTTATTGATATCATTTATTTATCGCCGGCCCTCGTCCGCCTGACAGGTTTCAAACACCAAACCCACGGCACTTCACGTTACTTCGAGGGCGAAACTTACCCTCCGGGTCAAATAGAAATTAACCTTTTATTTCGTCCGCAAAGCCCACTGTGTGTGGAGGTGGGGGGGAGTTATATATATATATATAGTATTCCCTGTTGTATTTCCCAATGCCTGCATTGCCTGGCAGAATCATCTGTCCATCTTTCTGTACGTCAATGCAAATCAGGCAATTTTATTTTATTAAAAAAGACACAGAAAGGGAACTGTCCTTCGGAGATTTAAAGCTGTCGTTTGTCTTTGCTTTTGCGGAGTGGAAGAGGGAGAGATAGAGAGAGAGAGAGAGAGAAGGGGGTGGCGGGGGAGAGAGAGCTCTGTGGGCTTTGGGTAGGAAATCACTGGATGGTCATTAAGAAAAGCATTGACGCGAGTGAGTGAGTGAGAGAGAGAGAGAGAGAGAGAGAGGGAGTGAGTGAGTGAGTGAGTGGCTCAGAGCTGACAGCACAGTCGGGCTTTCAGTCAGTCAATGCTGCACATTAACAGCGAGTCTCTCTTCTAAGGACATCAGCACTGAGCCACGGACGGACGGACACACACGCACACACAGACGGACGTGCACACGGACGCACACACACACACACACACACGCACACGCACGGAGCTCAAGTCCTTCACTCCAACTGGAAGAACCAGATCTGTGGCTGTAATTTTTCCCCTCGGTGCTTCTTTCCCCGCAAATCACCTGAACACCACCAGCCTCGTAAGTAGAATAAAGTACGATCGCTCTCTCTTTTTTCGCGGGCGGGCGGGCGGGTGGGGGGGGGAAGGGTGGAGGGAGGAGAGGGCGAGTTGGTTGGTGGTGGGGGGGTGGGATGGGAAGGGAGAGCGACGAAGCTAAAATGCTGTCTCATTTGATTTGATTCGTATTCCGCGCCACCGGTAACCCTTCGCAACAAATAATGAGCGACATTGATTGCCAATGAATAATAAGTACGACTCGTGATAATAAATCCTCGCGTCCGCTGCAGCGCCTCATCGCGTCTTCCGGACGTCTCAAAGCCCTTCGCGGAACAGACCCCACGCAAACAGTCGTGGATTGAGTGCCTAAATTATTATTATTATTATTATTATTTATTTGAAGGGATCATTAACCCCACCACCCACCCCCCCCCGGGAAAAGCGATCCACCGATCCACTAACAACCAGGTTCCTCTTTACTGCTCCGGTAAACAGAGTGTGCGCACAGTAAGGAAACTCGCCTGAGGTTTCGCCCTGACCTGACCTGACCCGCCCGGGAATCGAACCGAGGTCCTCTCGCTTGCGAGGCGAGGGCTCGAACCCCCTGACCCGCCCGGGAATCGAACCGAGGTCCTCTCGCTTGCGAGGCGAGGGCTCGAACCCCCTGACCCGCCCGGGAATCGAACCGAGGTCCTCTCGCTTGCGAGGCGAGGGATCGAACCCCCTGACCCGCCCGGGAATCGAACCGAGGTCCTCGCGCTTGCGAGGCGAGGGCTCGAACCCCCTGACCCGCCCGGGAATCGAACCGAGGTCCTCGCGCTTGCGAGGCGAGGGCTCGAACCCCCTGACCCGCCCGGGAATCGAACCGAGGTCCTCGCGCTTGCGAGGCGAGGGCTCGAACCCCCTGAGCTGCCCGGGAATTGAACTGAGGTCCTCTCGCTTGCGAGGCGAGGGCTCGAACCCCCTGAGCTGCCCGGGATTCCCTACGTCACTTGTCATAGCATCTCGTCAGAAAATCTCGTTTGTTTCAAGAACAAATGAGATCGATTTCTACGAGAAAATAATATCTGGGGGTGGGGGGGGGTGGTGGGGGGGTTGGGGGAGTGGGGGGGGAGGCAGTGTAAAGTTTGGGGGGACAGGACATGTCAAGCGAACAGATGCAGAGAAAATTCTTACGCTCTCATATGTATCGCGCCCCAAAAATTGTGGGTTAAGGAGTTTGGTTCCTTTTCTTGTCCCCCCCTCTCCTCCCCCACTTCCCCACACTCCCCCCCCTCCCCCCACCCCAACCCCCAAACCCCCTCACCCTGTCAGGGGGTAATAATCCCTTCGGAAAGTAAATAAGTAAATAAGTAAATAAATAAATCAGTCACCTCAATCCACGGCTGTTTGTGGGGACGTCGCTGGGCGCGATCGGCTGCCCGTGTTTTGCCCACAAAATGCGCAGTCACTACACTTCGCGGTGTACCCCGTGGGGCGCTTTGAGACGTCTCGAAGACGCGATGAGGCGCCGCATCGAATAATTGGCTTATTATTGTTATTATGATGATTACTATGATGATTATTATTATTATTCAGAGGCCGGCAGGGCGAAGGACAGACTGGGAGGGGTCAGGACGGGGGGGGGGGGCGAGGCAGAGAGCCGATGGCGTTCTTCTTTGCCAATGCGTCGTCGCTGGTCATCCTGAACTGCTCGGGGTGCGCCCCCCCTTCACTGAACCCCACGAGGGCTGTGTGCCTGGGGCTGGTGTTGGGCTCCTTTATCCTCTTCGCTCTCCTGGGGAACATCTTGGTCATCCTCTCGGTGGCCTCCCATCGGCACCTGCACACGGCCACTCACTACTTCATCGTGAACCTGGCCATCGCTGACCTCTTGCTCAGCTCCACCGTCCTCCCCTTCTCCGCCCTCTTGGAGATCTTGGGGCGCTGGGTGTTCGGAAGGCTCTTCTGCAACATCTGGGCGGCCATGGATGTCCTGTGCTCCACAGCGTCCATCATGAGCCTGTGCGTCATCTCCATCGATCGCTACATCGGAGTCAGCTACCCTCTCAGGCACCCCGCCATCATGACCGAGAAGCGAGGGGTCCTGACCTTGGTGGCCGTGTGGCTACTTGCCCTGGTGATATCCGTGGGGCCGCTGTTCGGGTGGAAGGAGCCGGAACCGGAAGACGAGAGCGTCTGCAAGATCACCGAGGTTCCCGGCTACGTCCTGTTCTCCGCCTTTGGCTCCTTTTACGTCCCCCTGGCCATCATCCTGCTCATGTACTGCCAGGTCTACGTAGTGGCCAAGAGAGAGACGAGGAGCCTGATGGCCGGGGAGAAGAGAGAGGGCTCGGACACCAACAAGGTGACCTTACGCATCCACCGGAAGAACGTGGGAGGTGACGTCTCGCCCAGATCCGGCGAGCACCACTCCAGGGGCAAAGGACATCACCTGAAGACACATTTCTCCGTGCAGCTGCTCAAATTCACCAGGCAGAAGAAAGCAGCGAAGACCTTGGGAATCGTGGTGGGAGGCTTCATCCTCTGCTGGCTCCCCTTCTTTGTGGTCCTTCCACTGGGTAAGAGACCCCATCCATCGCCGATCGGGCCTTCAGCCGCTCTGCGCCCCTCACCCCCCCATCCCCCCCACCACCCGACCCCACAACTCACCCTCTGGAACTCCATCCCACATTCCCTTCGCCTCGTTCCCTCCCTCTCACCTCCTCCAAGGCCCACCCCTCTTCGAATTTTATATGTGAAAATTGGGTTGTGGCATTTGCCCGCAAGACACACAGTCACTACACTTTACGGTGTGTATCCCGCGATGCGCTTTGAGACGTCTCGAAGACGTGATGAGGCGCCGGGTCAAACGCGAGGGTTATTATCAGTATTGCACATCTTAGTCCAACAACGTTGAAGTTCCTCGAACATGTCCTTGAGACGTTAACCCAACGAACAGCGACACACATCATCGCTGCCCCATATAAATCAGGACCGTTTGTTGGGTTAGAGTGGGTGGGACAGGTCAGGGTGAAACCTTGGGCAAGTTTCCTTACTCCCCCCGCACCCCCCTCCCCCCCCCCCACACACACACGCCTCTGTTTACCGGCAGTCAGTAGGAAAGTAGGGACCCGGTTGTTAGTCGATTGGGGATCACTTTTCTGGGGGTAATAATCCCTTCAAAAATAATAATAATAATAATTTGGTCACTTCAACCCCCGGCTGTTTGCGGGTGACGCCGCTGTGCGCGTTTCGCCCGCAAAATATACAGTCGAATCGCTTGACCGCACGTCCTGTGAAGCGCTTTGAGAAGGTCTCGAAGACGCGATGAGCCGCTGGGTCAGGCGCGAGGATTATTGTCCCCCGGGTCGTCGCTATAAATCCGCCGCTGTGAGGGTTAATAGCCAACCACGTGACGTGACATGACCAGGAGACGAAAGCCACGTCGGAAGGGCTTTGCCTTGTGGAATTCAAGGTCGCAGGACCAAAAATGTTCCAAAAATAACGGTCATTAAACTGTCAGACCCGGTTCGAGGAGTCTGGGCCGTGTCCTGTCCCCTCTAACGAGCTTCGCTGGAAGAATCCTTGCATTCGTTGCAGCGTATTGTGTCGCCAAAATGTCTCCAAAGTGCTTCACGGGCTTATGTACTGCGAAGTGGTGTGACTGTGGCTATTTTGTAGGCCGGTAGTTTGCGCCCAGCGATATCTTTCTCTCTCTCGCTCTCCCCCCCGCCCCGCGCAGAGCGAGTGAGCGATTTTTATCGGAGGGGGGGATTTGTCAGCTGTGGGGAAAAGCCCCCGTTGTTGCCCGTCATCGATCGGGCTTTCACCCTCTCTGCCTCCGCCCTCTGGAACTCCATCCCGCAGCCCCGCCACCTGGTCCTCCCCCCACCCTCACCTCCTTCAAGACCCACGTGGAGACCTTCCTCTGCAACCGTGCCTTCGGTCGCCCCCCCCCACCCCGCCAACCCCTCCCCTCCCCTTCGACGCGAGATGGTGGAAGCCGCCGAAGCACTGTGCGTCGTCTCGAAGACGCGATAAGGCGCCCTATCAAATCCAAGGTTGTAGCAGTATTATTAGTGTTATTAGTAGTAGCATTATTATTATTAGCAGCAGTATTAGTAGTAGTGGTACTATTATTAGTAGTAGTAGTATTATTAATAATAGTAGTAGCAGTAGTATTATTATTAGTAGCCGTATTATTATAATAATAATTAGTAGTAGCAGTAATATTATTAGTAGTAGCAGCAGTATTAGTAGTAGTATTATTAGTAATGGTAGTATTATTATTAGTAGTATTAGTAGCAGTGGTAGTAGTAGTATTATTAGTATTATTATAGTGTTGAACATTTAATCAGCTAAGATGCTGACGCACTCACTCAGTTGCTGTTCTATCCTTGAGCAATTGTAACGGTGCACTGCCGTGCGGGAAGGTAATTGGCATTTTGAATGCTTTCCTCCTGTCACTGTGGTCTCTCATCACTGTCAGAGCTTCGAGGTGACTCAGTGCTGTGTAATTAATGTTCTGAGAGACACAGACGAGTGACGCAGAGACCTGAGGCTCTGCACGGATCCTGTTCCCCTGCAGTTTGTCTGGTGTCACACAATCCCACGGCCGCTTTGCCCATCTCTGCCGTGACTCTCTCTCTCAAAACATCCCCGTCGCCCTCTCCCTAACGAAAAGGGGCCCTCTCTCTCGCTCTCTCGCTCTCTCTCCCTCCTCCACTGTCCTGGATAATAATAATAATAATAATTAATAATAATTAATTACCCCCGGAAAAGCGATCCCCCAATTGACTAACAACAGGGCTCCTACTGACTGCTGGTAAACAGAGACGCGTGTGTGTGTGTGTGCGTGTGTGCGTGTGTGGGGAGTAAGGAAACTTGCCCAACGTTATTATTATTATTGTCGTCTCTTGGCCGATTTGGGTTATTCCCTTTTTTGAGCAAACGATAAGAGAATTTTTAACAGCCATCCCACTTGGGAACGGTTCTCAACTCGGGCTCTGCGTTCGAGTAACCGAAGGGATAAATACAGTCTTTCCCGTTTGGTGGCAGTGAGCGTCTTCTCCTCCCCAACTTGGCACTTGGCACCGGATCCGTTAACAGCCGCACGAAAGGTCCCATCAATCCTCTACGTTCGGGCAAACAGACTTGAGAGCAACTGTCGAAAGGGAATCGGATGGAGAAATAACTGGCAAAGATATTGGGGGGTGGGGGGTGGGGGAGTAAGAGCTGTTGGATGGGGGGAACTGGGGCTGATTGAGTAGTCCACCCCCCCCAGAAAAGCCATCTGCCAATCGACTAACAACCTACTTACCGCTGGGTAACCCAAGGCGTGTGTGTGAGTGTGGACTTCAGGCGACTCGCCCAAGGTTTCGCCCCTGACCCTCCCCTCCCGGGGCTCGAACCCGGGTCCCGGGGCGAGGCGAGAGCTCAAAGCGTTCAGCAGTCGGTCTCCACGTCCCTTACGGTTGTCCCCTGTTCCTCCAGGCTCCTGCTTCCCGGCGTACCGGCCGCCGGAGACGGTTTTCAAGGTCACCTTTTGGCTGGGCTACTTTAACAGCTGCCTCAACCCCGTCATCTACCGCTGCTTCAGCCAGGAGTTTAAGCGGGCCTTCCGGAACGTGCTGCGGGGGGAATGTCACCGCAGGAAGCCCCCCGTGAATCAGGGCTCGAGCCTGAGCTCCTCCAGCGCCCACAGCGGGGCCGAGAGGCCGAAGGAGGTGGTCCGCACCCAAGTGGGAACCAACGAGGCTTTCCTCGGGATCGCCCGACCCCAGGCCCCCAGCCAGTGGAGCCTGCTCCCCGCTCGCCCGGACCACCGGACTGCCCGCTCGCCCCGCCAGCCCCCCAGGGCTCTACTGGGCTCGTGCTGCGGGGGTGGTGGTGGTGGTGGTGGTGGGGTGGGGGGGGGCCGAGAGGGGATGCCAGAGCCAAGCCCACCTCACGCGCCCCCCCAAACCCCGCTAGGCTCACACCACACATGATGGGAAGACCCTCGAGCTGAACGTGCGTTGAGCGAAGAGTTTATCGCTCCATTGAGGACTTCGATTGGGCTCCGAGAGGCCTTTGAAAGAGTTGAGAGACACACACACACACACACACACAAGACACACGCAAGATACACACACGCGCACACGCACACACGAGCAGCGCACACGCGCACACACGAGCGCCACAGAAAGTGGTACGTAAAAAAAAAAATCACCCCCGTCCCCTCGCGCAGGGCTGAGAGCGAGGGGCGACAAGAGGGCAAAGGGGCTCGAGAGAGAGTTTCGCCCACAAAACGCACGGAGGACTCCCCCCCCCACACACCCCCACCTTCCCCGAAGCGCTCTGAGGCGTCCTCCCGCGCCACGACACCTCTGCGCCGGCGTCGAACCTTTCGGGCCACGAAAACGAAACGGAATCGCGCCTCGAGACGAGAGAGAGAGAGAGACACAGAACAGAACCCCGGGGAGAAAAAACACCCGGCATCGAATAAAAAAAAAAACAAAGACCCCCCCCCCCCCCCGGGTTTGCGTCCGTCTTTGCGTCCGGCGTTCCGTGATTTCGCGCGACAACCGTGTGCGCGCGCGTGTGTATGTGCGTGAGTCTCTCTCTCTCTCTCCCCATCCGAGGGTGTTGCAAACGCACAGTCACTACACCTGTGACTGGGGGGGGAAGGGGAAAGGGGGGGGGGACGAGGGGGGAGGTGACCGTAAGCTCGGTCGAAGAGGAAGGTCGTCAAGCGCGAACGGAGGTCGGGGAGGGAGAGGGGGAAGGCTGAGGGAGTGGGTGGGGTTGGGTGGGGGGGATAGATAGAGGGGTGAGAGCGGTAAAGTTTCGGGGGTGGGGGTTTGATAGTGGGGGCAGAGGGTCGGGGCGGGGTGGGGGGGGGTAGTGTTTCACGAGCGGAGCAATCAGACGACTCTCCCAGCCATTTGCTAATGTAATCCCCCCCCCCCTCACCGCTCCCCCTCACCGCCCCCCCCTCACCGCCCCCCCTCACCGCCCCCCCCCAGTCCCAGCGGTTGCATTCCTACAGCTTTTAATAAAACTTTGTCTGACGCGTTTAAAACTTCCCTGAACTTTCCCCCGACTCCTTGTCCGGCCGGAGTTTACCAGATGGGCTGCGTTCACAGGCTCACACCCCCCACCCCCCAGGGTCTCGGAGATTAACCCCCGCACCGCCGGCACAGTCACCGCCCCTCTCCGCTAAGGGTCTGCCGGGCGAAAGAAGACCCGGGTCCAAGCAGTTCGCCCCCAGACTATACACGGTCTCTACCACACCAGCCACCCTCCGCCCCACCCCACCACACCAGCCACCCTCCCCACCCCACCCACCACACCAGCCACCCTCCCCCACCCCACCCACCACACCAGCCACCCTCCCCCACCCACCACACCGGCCACCCTCCCCTCCCCACCCACCACACCGGCCACTCTCCCCCACCCACCCACCACACCAGCCACCCTCCACGGCACACACACGCACACACACACACGCGTGCGCTGGCAAGTCTGATGCAGGGCTCCCTTTAAAGGCGAAAACCGAATGCTCGCACAAGGCTAAAACCAGGCGGAATTTGGGGAGTGGGATTTGGAGTCTCAGTCGTTCAAGTGAACACGTAAAGCAGATGATTCCCAAGAAAGAGACGGAGTGAGAAACAGAGAGAAACAGAGAGAGAGAGAGAAATATAAGACTGTTTTCTTTACTTAAAACCTTTGTGGGACGGCAATACTCCGGCTAATGCCTCCCACATTGCTCTGGGAACGCCGAGCTGTTTGGTAATTAAAAGCTTAGGGTTTCCTCCTTGGGAGTACTTCCTCCTTCTGGTTTCCACACATTCCGTCTTTAATGAAATTAAAAAGTCGGGTCGACTTTTCCCAGACTTTTTCCCACTCAATACAACCTCATCTTCCACTGACCACAGGAATTACAGTGATCCCCCTTTTTCCTCCGTATTGCTCCAAATTTCCACCCCCTCCTTCTCTCTCTCTCTCTCTCTCTCTCTGTCTGTCTGTCTCGTGTCCAAACTGACAAGAGGTCAATAAGGAGTCCCGTGGCTCAGGGGTTAGACCCCTCGCCTCGCAAGGCGAGAGGACCCGGGTTCGATACCCGGGCAGGACAGGTCAGGGCGAAATATGGGGCAAATTTCCTTACTCCCCACACACACACGCACACACACACGCACACACGAGCCTCGGTTTACGAGCAGTAAGTAAGAAACTTTTCGCCCACAAAATACGCAGTCACTGCACTGTAGCGTATCCTGTGAAGCGCTTCGAGACGTCTCGAAGACATGATAAACAATGACAAGTAAAGAAGCCTCCGAATCAAGACTGAATGGATGAAACGTCCACATCGCTGTGGCCTCTCAAACACTTAAGGCAAAACAATCTCTCTCTCTCTCTATCTCTCTCTCGAGGTCTTTCCCGATCAGACTATACAACTGCACCGGCGCCAGGACTACTGCAGTCCACCGTTGTGGCGTATATTTGTAGAGATAACGTGGCATTTGCACAGACAATTCTGTCCTCTGGTGGGAACTCAATGCCGTCTGTGTGAACCACATTCTTTTTATGGACAACTCCGCTCTCCAGTGGACACCGACCGTCAACGCAGCCAACTGGTCAAACCCGGGGGATGGCTTAAGGGGACTTGTTTGCAACTTGCTGCCGAAACTCGGAGGAATTGATGATGATAAAATAAAATAATAATAATATAATAATCCCGGCATTTGATACAGCGCCTCATCACGTCGTCCAGACGTCTCAAAGCGCTGCGCGGGACGCGCTGTAAAGCGAATCGACTCTATATTTGAGGGCGAAACGGGGCAGCCGCTTGCGAACCCACACACAGTGGTGGATTCAAGGAAACTTGCCCAACATTTCGCCTCCATCCTACACCCCCCCATCCCCACCCACTGCTCCCCCCCCCCCCCACCACCCACTGCTCAGGTCCAAATCCCTGTCCAGTGGCTTGGGACGTCCTCTTGACGTAAATGTCATTTCTTCTTGTAACGAGGGTCGAAATAAAGGCCAGTGGGTGGTTCCCGGAGGACTTGGCATTGCTCATGGTGAAGAGCATTAAATATTGGCAGCTTTAAAGAGGACAACAGAGGTCAGCAGGAGATTTGGGTTCGATTGAAATTGATATTTCCGTTGACAACTGCTGGGGCCGTTTGAGTGAGTGTCAATTACTCAGCTCTACTGTCTTCCCTGAACCATTGCCCTGAAGCCCTGGGCTTTCACTCGGAGTGTGGAGCAAAGGCATTGATCCAATAAATGGTCTCTTTCCGAGCTGCGCCTTGCATTGCAATCCCCCTCCAGGGCTGATGGCCGTAGAACTCCAGAGACACTGAGACGAGCAGACGCACAGACACCACGAAAGCGAATTGACCGTATATTTTGTGGGCGAAACGCGGCAGCCAATTGCACACAGCAGCGTCCCCACAAACAGCCGTGGACTGAGCCACCAAATTATTATTATTTTTATGGAACCCACTATTCCTCCTTTTCCCCCACCCAACCCCAGGGCACTGTAGAGACAGAATCAACTGGGGAGCAGATGACTAGATGTTTGGGATATTGAGGACATTTAGTAAATACAAAGAAATGTGTATTTTATTTTATGATCAATTCACTTTACGGTGTATCCTGTGAAGCGCTTTGAGACGTCTCGAAGATGTGATAAGGCAAGGATTATTATTATTATTATTATTAATTGGAAATGTAACCGCGATCTGACAAGGACCTTCCCTGGAGCAGCGAAAGCGCTCAAAGAAACGATCGACTCTTAAACCACCACGGAAACACTGGACGGTAATCTGCCCCCATGGGGTCTGGAGTAATCAGGTCCCCTGTGGTCAGCTCTGGCTCCCGCCCGCCTCGGATTCCTTCATCGTCACCGGCCGAGGACGCTAACCTTTCGCCCAGGCCTGTCAACCCCCAAACACCCGCGAACATATTGGGAGTTCCCTGTGGCTCAGTGATTAGACTCCTCGCCTCGCGGGCCGGAGGACCCGAGGGGGTCAGGTCAGGGTGAATTCCTGCTCTCCGCACCACTCTTTTTATCCAGGCATTCAGATCCATGATCTCCTTTTGCCAGTACCAATTAGCTCCCGGCTCAGGTAACAGTCCCGATATCATCACTTTGGAAGTTCTATTCCTTAGTTTAATTCCCAATTCCCGGAAACTCGCTCCTTAACTCGTCCCCACTGGTCCTACCAATGTCATTGGTCCCTATTGGATCCTCTCCCTCATGCCTCAAATTTATCTCCAGCCCGGCGGTGACATCCGTCACCCCGACCCCAGGAAGACACCAGAGTCTTCTTGTCTCCCCGCTACGGCGACAGAAAACTGTCATCAGTCCTCCCGACTGTCTCATCCCCAATAAGAATTACATTTTTAACCTCCTGCACAGGGGTGTTGGGGTCAGTTTGCCCGTCTTCCTCACAGATTTCCTTATCCACACAGGTTGCCAATATTTCATACCTGTCAGACAAGGCTAAAGTCTGGGATTCTTCAGCCCCTCTCTGTCGGGAACGCTTGCCTTCACCCAGTCGTGTCCGTCGCTGCTACAGTCTTCTTCCTTGGGACTCAGGGGAGTGTCCGGCTCCAGGAGAAAGCTGTCCAGGAAGTTTACTCCATCCCTAATGCTGTGCAGCGTCTCCACCCAAATTCCCTCACGCTCTGGCCTCGCCTCACTCCGGACGTAGCTCGCTCTGGGCTCTCGGCTCCAGTGAGGCTCGCGCAGCTATCTCCTATTTATACTTTCTGGGTACAACCCGTTTCTGATTTGCTCAGCAGTGATTTGGAATTAACGCCTAATCAAGTGGTTAATCAATAAGTTAATTTAATCAATAAGTTATGTGTTATTGGCTACAGCTGCTCCCTGTAAAGTTACCCCACAAGACCAACGTACCAATGGTATCAGCAATTTTAAATAACACAAGACTTAAAACAACTACTACAAGACTTGAATAACAACAACAACAAATTGGGTTATGTGCTCACGATAGCAGTTTTCACGACACTCACAGCAGCAATTCCCACTCTCACTAAATTCCCTCACACTCTGGCCTCGCCTCACTCCGGACCGTAGCTCACTTTGGGATAGTGAGTTCCATACATTCACTGTGCGAAAGGGCTGACCTCTGATTTTAAGGCTGTGACCCCTGGTTTTAGTTTCTCCAACCGGGGAAACAATCTCCCACTATCTACTCTATGCCCTTTGATGATCTTATAGGTTTCTATAAGATCCCCTCTAATTCTTCTATATTCTGGAGAATATAGGTCCAACTTGTTCAGCCTCTCCTCGTAACTCATCCCCTTCATCCCTGGCACTAACCAAGTAAATCTACGCTGCAACCGCTCCACGGCAAGTACGTCCTTCCTTAAATAAGGGGACCAAAACTGCACACAGTATTCCAGGTGTGGTCTCACCGGGGCCCTGTACAGTCGCAGCAAGACTTCCCTATACTCTAATCCTTTCATAATGAACGCTACCATACCGTCCGCCTTCCTAACTGCTTCGAGTCTCGACGACGTGACAAGGCGCTCGATCAAATCAGATACCACACACACACACACAACACAACCAGCCGAGACGTAAGGAGTTATTTTATTAGCGGGTGATAATGTTACCAGACAGTATTATTCTTTTTTCCCCCCCCCTTAAATCTTCTTCCCCCGTGGGAATAACTTACAGGACCTTTGACAAACATTACTAAGATGGACCAGACAGGGAGGAGAGGGGGAGGTGCGGTGGGGGGGGGAGAGCTTTTATCTACGACAGGCAAGAACAGGACACCGGGTCTCAGAACGGAGGCAATTTTCTTTAAAAACCACTACTACTTTTTTTTTTTCCGGGACAACTTCAGAGCATCGAGTCGCTGCGATATCGTGCGCCGGAGAAAAACCTCGAACCCACCCGTGATGCGCTCTCGAACCACGAGCAAACGACACAGCAAGCGGGCGATGAGTGGGGGCGGCGGTGGGGAGGGGGGTGTTGGGGTGGGGGAAAGGAAGGAGAAGGAGAGAGAGAGAGGGGAGGGGGAGACGGGCTCACATCACACGGGGAACACGGCTGGCGCTGGCACTTGAACTTGCGGTCTCTCCAAGGCTGGCACGGAGAACCGAGGCGCAGGGGAGGGAGGGGAGGGGGGCGCGGCGGGGCAGTGGGAGGCCATTCAGCCCCTGGAGCCTGTTCCGCCGTTCTATTAAGCGTGCGTCCGATCTGTAGCTCTACTCCAGACGTTCCCGCCCCGTCTCCGTCCGCAACTCAGCCCGAGCTTTGCACCAGCTTTCTCACACGCGAACATTACAGACACGCAGACCGCACACGCACGCACGCCCACGCACGCACACAAGTCCCGCTTCGGGGCACAGGCTTGTGGAGCGCAAGCTCTTTTCCCCCGGGGCTCAGCGCGAGTCGTGACCGACCCCAAGTGGAAGTCAAAACTTATGTGCGGATGATTTTTTTTTTCTTTCTTTTTCCCGTCTTCTGCTCGTTTCGTTAAAAACTGCGCCGTTTCGGGGCAAATTAAGAGCGGACCCGCGGGTGAAGTTCCGCGAAAAATCCGAGAGGGTCGTGCGTGCGCGCGAGCGCCGCTGTTAAACACGCTCCTCCCGTGAAGACAGCGTTTCATGCATCGAGAAAATAAAATAGGAGATGTCGTGGCGTCTTTGTTGTAGTCTCCGTCGTGTGGTCAGGACAGAGAGAGACAGACAGAGAGAGAGACAGACCGACCGAGAAAGAGAAACGCGCACCAAATCTCCCCTCGAGGCCGTGTGCGCGTTGGCCTGATATTTTTTTTTCCCCTCTCGCACCGACTGTGGGTTTAAACGTCTCTCTCTCTCTCTCTCTCTCCGTAAAGCCCTGGCGGCGGATGTAAGCGAATGGGGTTGTTGTTCTTACGCGCACACGCGCGCGCACACACACATACGCACACACCACACACACACAACAACAAGATTCCATTTATAGAGTGCCTTTCACATCGGGAGGACGTCCCAAGGCGCACGCACCACACACACAGGCACAGACACGCGTACGCGCACCGCGCACGGGCACAGACGCACGCGCGGGCGCCCACGAGCGCATGCACGTGAGCGCACCTGCGTGCACGCGTCCAAGGGGGCCCGGGATCGAGCTCGCTTCGTCCACAGCGACCGTCACAGGCTCTTAACGCAAACGAACATGGAAAGGGGGAGGGAGAGGGAGAGAGAGAGGGGGGGGGGGGGGGGAAAGAGGGGGGAGAGAGGAGAAAACAAACAGAAAGGTTCTGCCGCTGCTGTTGGGGCCGGAAGTTTACCCCAGGGTCGTGATGTTTGCCCGGCCTCCAGGAGGAGCCACTATACGCTGTCCGGTACGGCGCGGCAAGTTGTCATCTATCTGAGCACCTGCGGGAGAGGGCGAGAGTTACGAGATACAGAGCACTTGCTTGGAGAAGCCGGGGAAAGGCTGGCCGGGCGGGGACGGGGTAGGGTGGGGGGGTGTCTCGGACTCTCTCTCTTTCTCTCTCTCTCGTCCGCAAATAGTCCGGCCCACCCCCGAAAAAACACAGTCGCTACGCTTTATCGCGCGTCCTGCGAAGCGCTTCGAGACGTCTCGAAGACGCGATAAAAGGGCGTCCGTCGAGGGCAGGAATTTGTCCCGAAATCGCGCCTTTTTGGCCACTCTCAACCCCCGTGGCCTCAAGTCGTCATTTCCTTTCCTCTCTGACTCTGTTGTGTGTGTTGTGTGCGTATGTTGTTTTATTTCTTTTTTTGACTCTCTTCGCCCTCCCCCCCTCCCTCCCTCCCTCCGTCCCTCCCTGTTCCCAACGCAGAGAGAGAGAGAGAGAGAGAGATCACGAGATCCGTTCAGTCGTAAGAGGCCCCCACCCACCCCACCCCCACCGCCGTCTCCATTTGATCTCAGGAATAATCACGTGGCGCTTAGGACCACCTCTTGTTCTACGTCCTCGAAGTCTTGCCGTGCGTTTCCTCTCTCAATCCCTTTAGGTACAATCCACCATCCACCCCCACCACCCGCCCCCCCCCCCCCCACACACCGAGACACCTGCGTTCAAGACCGAAGAGCCCTCCTACATCTAATAATAATAAAAAATTATGATAATCTTTGCATTTGATGCAGCACCGGATCAGCCAATTGCGCACAGATTGAAGTGACCAAATTATTATTATTATTAATCATATTCAAAGGAATTATTAACCCCCTCTCCCCCCCCACCCTGGACGAAAGCGACCGGCCGATCGAACCAACCAACCAACCAACCAACGGGGTCACCCCTACTTCGCTGCTCTCTAGTTAGTGGGACTCAAACACGAATGGGCGTCTAACCGTGTTTGTGCGTGCGGGGACAAAGCCCCGGATCGATAGCTCGCGCCGGGCGTTCTGGGAAGTAATAAAAAAGAGGGAACACACATTTACCGGACAAACTGAATCCAGACTGGTGCAGGTTCCTCATCGGGGCACCCTGTTGTTGTTGTTGCTGCTGCTGCTGCTGCTGCTGTTGTTGCTGTTGTTTGGCCGGGGAGGTGCGGGCCGAGGAGGCGGGGGTCACGGACTTGGGGGTCGCTGGCACGTCGCACACGGGCCCGTCGTACAGCCCCCGCGGGACCCCGCGCAGTTCCGTCAGCTGGAAGACAGGGACGGAGAACCCGTGGAGGGGACCGGACACGAGAGCCTTCCCTGGGGAGCGACCGCAGCTGCGGGCAAAGCGGCTGGCTTGGTGTCGCGGATGAGATTCCCCCCCACCCCCGCCCCCCCGCCCGCCTCGCGTCAGGAGGACGTCCCGAGGCGCTGGACGGTCGAGGGGATTGGTACCCCGAGACTGGGGGAGGGGGGTGGTTCGGGTTCAGGGAGGCAGGGGAGGGTGGATTGGGACCCCGAGACTGGGGGAGGGGGATGGTTCGGGTTCAGGGAGGCAGGGGAGGGTGGGGGTAGGAGGGTGGTCGAAGAGGAGGGTCTTGAAGGAGGAGAGGGAGGGGAAGGGACTGCAGGATGGAGTTCCAGAGGGCGGAGAAGATAAAGGTCCCACCTGGGATGGTGGCCGGTCCAGGCTGGGCGGGGGGGCCTGTTGTAGGCCAGAGCCCCTGAGAGGAGGGAGCGGACAGGTTGATATGTGGGGGTGGGGTGGGGGGTTAGCAGGGGGTCACAGAGGTTGTGAGGGAGGGAGGAGGGCCTTGAAGGTGATGATCAGGATGAGGATTTTGAACCCTATCCACTGTGGGGTGGGGGGGGGGAGGGAACTCAATCTAACCTCTCTGAAGGACAGCGCTATGGAGGGATATGGGGAGAGAGTGGGGGTGTGGGGTTGATCAGGGCTATGGGGAGAGAGCGGGCGAGGGAGTGGAGCTGACTGGGGCTTTGGGGAGAGAGCGGGGGAGGGAGTGGGGTTGATCAGAGCTTTGGGGAGAGAGCGGGGGAGGGAGTGGGGTTGATCAGAGCTTTGGGGAGAGAGCGGGGGAGTGGGATTAATTTGAACAACTCTTTCGAAGAGCCAGTACAGACACGATGGGCCGAATGGCCTCCTCCTGTGCTGTATCATTCTGGGATACTCTAATGGACCCAACCCTAAAGTAGAGGGAGATCATGACCGACCGCAGCAACAGAAAGCCCCCTCTCTCTGTCTCTCTCTCTCTCTCTCACCTTGCTTCTCGCCTTTATTCTCTTGTACACGTAGTCAGGGAAGGGCTTCCTGGGGATGAAACGGCCTGAGCCCTCGCTGGTGTGAATGGTCCCGTCCTCCAGGACGATTTTGCCCTGACTGATGACCACCAGAGGCGCCCCACGACACTCCATCCCTTCAAAGATGTTGTATTCCACCGCCTACGGCCAACAACGCAGAGAGAGAGTGCAGTGTCACAACCACAACGGCACATTACATTTGTCAGAGGACGTCCAAAGGCACTGGATTTGGACCCTCTTCTGCGACCGAGCCTTCGGCAACCTCCTACGCCCTAACCCTCCCCTCCCTCCCTGCCCCCACCCCACCCCCAACAGATCAGCTCACCAGGTTGTGGGACTTCGCCGTGAGGGTCTTGACCACGTCGGGGTCCCAGATGACGAGGTCAGCGTCCGAGCCCACCGCCACCCGGCCCTTGCGGGGGTACAGGTTGAAGATCTTGGCTGCGTTGGTGCTGGTCACGGCCACGAACTGGTTCTCGTCCATCTTGCCGGATACCTGCGAAGGCGTGGGTTTGGTCAATGGCACCAAAGCGTTCTCGAATACTTCAATCAACAACAACACTACCCCCATACACACCCCCGGCCCCTCACGCAGGGTAGAGTCCCACAGCGCTCGACAGTGGGGGTAGGCGGGGGGTAGGGGAGTCATGGGGGGGAGGCAACTGTAGACTGGTCGAAGAGGAAGTTCTTCAGGGGAAGGAAAGGGGCGAGGCGGGGGGAGGGATACAGGAAGGAAGACTGTTCCAGAGTATCGGGGTGGGGGAGGTGGTGGGGGGTTAGTGGCTGAAAGTACAGGCACTGATGGCGTAATGGAGGGCATTAGGGGCACGAAGAAGGCCGGAGATACATCAGACGTGTGCCCAGGAGAGCAACACTCTAATTGGGGCCGAATTTACGGCGTCCCACAAACACTCGTGGATCAAGGACAGTTGGTTAGGGCGGAGTGGGCTGGGTTGGGTGGGAGGGGGGAAGGTTGTACATACCACAGCTTTGTCCCAAATGATGGACATTCTTTCCTCAACTCCGTTAGTCCCCTCGGGAATCAGCGTGAAGTCATCCTTCCCCAACGCTCTCTGAGCGGTGTTGAAAGTGCAGTGAGCACTTCCTGTGACCTGCAAGTCCCCACTGCAAACAGAGGTTAGATACAGAGTTAATCTCTCTCTCTCTCTCTCTCTCTGCGCTATCCATCACTCTACTTGCACGCGGTGAGGGTTAGGTACACAGCGAAGCTCCTCTGTACAGTCTCGCTCGGGTTTCAAAGGCATTCCAACCCTCGAACGCGTAACTCGAGCGACAAGAACGAGCGAGGAGCTGGTTACCAAGAGAGGAGGGAGTTGAGGTAGTCCGGGGTGGTCTGGTCGGGGCTGAGAGGAGGGGAGGTGACGAAAGCTGCAGCTTTGGCCCAGTTCTTGCTCCAGTAATAAGACCCATCGGTGCCAAGGCTGGCGGTGATGGGCTCCCCATACACCACGGTACCTGCGAGAAGGGGGTAAAATCAGCACCCGTTGGCGCGAGGCAAAGGCTCGACCTCCCCCACGGGGAAAGCTGCCACGTTTCGCCCACAAAATGCAGTCGATTCGCTTTACAGCGCGTCGCGTGAAGTGCTTTGGGATGTCTCGACGACGCGATAAGGCGCTGGGTCAAATGCGAGGATTATTACTATTATTATTATTATATTATTCCCCGAATAGGCAACACTTGCCTAACCCTGGGGGAGGAGACCTACCTTTCTTCCTGGCTTGGGCTATGACGTCAGCGGCAGTCTTGCTCATCACCTTGGTTATATACAGGGGGCAGTTGGTCTGATTGGCAACAGTCACGGCCCGATTCACTGCTTCGGCCTCAACCTGCGCGGAGGAGAAATATTAACGGCGCAGGAACGAGAGGGATGGCTTTAGGGTACCCGAATAGGGAGACGGGGTCGAAGAGGAGGGTCTTGAGATGGGTCTTGAAGGAAGCGAGGGAGGGGGGCAAGGCGGAGGGACTGTTGGGTGTAACTATAAGGCAGTAACACTGATGTCCTAGGTTCCAAGTTGGGTCAGTGGCCTTGTTCCTCCATTAGCCCTACATTTTGCTGAGAACATTCGCTATCCTACCTCTTCTGGCCTGCTCAGGACATGTCCCTCAGGTCCGGTGATTCCCAGGGAGAGGATCCTACGTTGCTCCTGGAGAAAAAAGAGAGAGAGAGAGAGAGATGGTCAGGTTAACAACATCCTCCAGAACCTCTTATAAACAAGAGCTTATCGCTGAGGCTCGTGGGGCTATTCAGCTGTTATAATCTTTCTAATAATCCTTGCCTTATCACGTGTCAAAGCCACCCGCACTGTAAAAATGAATCAACCGTATATTTTTTGACGGTGGAACAGCTTTGAGACACTTCTTCGACCCGAAAGGTGTCGCTGAACACAATCTACCCTGCGTTAGCTAGCGCGCGCACGCGCGCAAACACACACGCACGCCCAGAAAGCCAACAGCTTCGGTACCTCGGCGATAATGTCTCCGTTCTCGGCGTGAACCTGCGCGATCGCTCCCAAGTCACGGATGGCACTCAAAGCCTCGTACATCTGCAAGCAGAGGGCAAAACGCTCACCCTCACGGCAAGAAAACAAAAACACAGCCCGGCGCAGCACCGGCCCTCCCCACTCCCACACCCCCTCACTACACGTCAGACCGCATTCCTCACCTGCGCGTCAGTTAACTGGTAGTGATCCTTGTAAGCCATGTACACGAGGAAGGAGTTGACGCCTGTGGAAAGGAACGAGAGAGAGAGAGAGAGAGAATGAGTGGGGAGGGTTTCCTGATTTCTCTCCGTAAGGATGGCGTGATATTCGACCGTGAGTTGGGGGCTCAACGGGGGCAATTGGCCCGAGGTTTCGCCCGGAGTCAGCCCACCGGACGGCGGCGGGGGGGGCAGTAGGGGGGCATCGAACCCCTGGCGAAGCGAGTGCTCCGAGCGCGGCGAGCTGCAGGACGAGCCGTTACCGTGTTCCTTCACCAAGAACTCCATCTCCTCCTGCAGCCCCTTGTACCACTCGGTGATGTCCACGTGCAGGGAGTAGTCGCAGCAGGTCTTGCCGTCCGCCCACTCGCGCCACTGCTCGAAGGCGGTGATCAGGCTGATCCCGGGCTCCGCCAGCACGTGGTCAACTGGGGGAGGAAAGGGATCGCGTTGGCGTAACGGGACCCAGCGCAGAGGACCCGGGCAGCCATGCCCCAGGGCAAGGCATCGGCTTCGTCCAGCCACCGTGCGAATGTTTGCTGAGAGGGGCTATTACACACACACACATGCGTAACACACGCGCGCACACACTAACACAGCATACACACACACAGCACACATACACAAACATAGCACACACACACAAACACACAACACACAGCACACACACAAACAAACACAGCACACACACACACACACAGCACACACACACACAGCACACACAAACAAGCACACACAAACACAACATAGCACACACACACACACACAAACAGCACACACACAGACAAACACAGCACCACACACACAAACAGCACACACACAAACACAGCACACACACACACACACACACACAGAGACACACACAAACATAGCACACACACAAACACAACAACACAGCACACACACACACACACAGCACACACACAGCACACAGCACACACACAAACACACAGCACACACACAACACACAAACACACAGAGGCGCCCACACCCGCACACACACATATATATAACATACAGCGCTCTTACAAATCATGGTGGTGCCACCAGCGAGAGCAGCTTTTGTGCCCTGGAAGAAGTCATCGGCCGCGATCATCCCTTTGATGGGCATCTGCAGACGCGTGTGCACATCGATGCCCCCGGGAATTACCATCCACCCGTGGGCGTCGATGGTCTTCACTCCGCCGGGCACGATCAGATTCTCGCCGATTTGCCTGCGTGGCAAAGAATGAACACGTTTCTTTTTTCGGAGCAGCCGGAAAGATGAAAAGGACGTGAGGATAAAGGGGAGGCCTCTGAGCGAACCCGTCCGAGCGCAGGGAACACGAACCGCTCGCGCCCTTCGCCGCGGACTGCGTCCTCGGAGCGCTTACCCCGGGCAGACCGCGCGCGCGAGGCGGGAAGCGGGCACTTACTTGATGAGACCGTCCTCGATGTAAATGTCAGCAAAAAAGGATTGATCATCGTTGACGATTTTACCGCCTTTGACCAGCAGTCGGTCACTCTGAACGAAAGGATCGAGTAGGATTTAACATATAAATGTAATAATAATATAATAATAAACTATATATATCAAATAGGATTTAATATATAAATATAATAATAAACTATAGATATCAAAAAGGATTTAATATATAAATATAATAATATAATAATAAATTATATCTATCAAATAGGATTTAATATTAAAAAATAATAATATAATAATAAACTATATATCAAATAGGATTTAATATAAATATACACTATTTATCAAATAGGATTTAATATATAAATATAATAATAAACTATATATATCAAATAGAATTTAATATATAAATATACACTATTTATCAAATAGGATTTAATATATAAATATAATAATAATAAACTATACATCAAATAGAATTTAATATACAAATATACACCATTTATCAAATAGGATTTAATATATAAATATATACTATATACTATTCACACACACACATATATATGTGTATATATATTATTAGATAAGCCCTTCAAAAACTGTTTTATGTAATAATTTGGTCACTCCAATCCACGACTGTTTTATGGGGACGCTGCTGCGCGCAAGTGGCTGCCGCGTTTCGCCCACAAAAATATACAGTCAAGTCACTTTGCAGCAGACGTCTCGAAGACGGGACGCGGCGCGATGTCGATTATTACGACGATTATTAATAACAATTAATATTAATAACATAAGCTCTCATGTCTGCGCAGACGGACACCCAGAGTATTGAGGGCTGCAGCCGCGTTGCCGTGAATTAATATGGACCGCCACAGACGCACAGACGCGCCACCTCCCTCACGACTTAAACCGCCGGCGACTATTCTGAGCGCGTTCCCTCCGACCGTCAGGTCGGACGCGAGACACGTTGACCTGCGGCGGAGAATTAACCCTTTAACCTCGACCCTTTAAAACGGCTGTCCCCGCCGATCCGGTCCCGAACGGTTCGTGCCCCCCCCCTCTCCACCCCCCCCCACCCCGGGGGCGACGAGGCGGCTTTTAAAGGGCGCGGTGCTCGGTAGGCGTTATTTGTTAAAAAAAACTGCATTTTTTTCTTCCGGTGTATAAAACAAAAATCATCATTTTGGCAAATAGCATTCAAGATTTATGGTTTTTTTTTGGGGGGGGGTTTCTTTGCAATGGTGTAAAGTCAAACAGTAAGGGAAGGGGGGTGGTGGGGGGGTGGGTGATTCCCACTGTCTTTGTGTGTGTGTGGGTGTGTGTTGGTGGGGTGGGGGGGTGGTTCCCCACTCTCTCTTTGTGTGTGTGTGTGGGGATGTGTGTTGGTGGGGGGGAGGTGTTTCCCCACTCTCTCTTTGTGTGTGGGTGTGTGGGTGTGTGTTGGTGGGTGGGTGTTTCCCACTGTCTTTGTGTGTGTGTGGTGGGGGTGTGTGTGTGGGTGGGGGTGTGTGTGGGTGTGTGTGGGTGGGGGTGTGTGTGGGTGTGTGTGTGGGGGAGTGTTGGGGGGGGGGAGAGATGGGAGTGATTCGAGGCTAACAGATTAAAAGCAGAGACTCCACACAATTTTCCCTGGGAATAAAGCTTTAGCAATTGACTGATTAATTGATTGATCAGTGCTTCTGCCAAACACTGGCTTTCGAATGCATTTATTGCACAGTTATTGCATCTTTTTTTTTGATGTAAAAAAGAAAGAAAGAGACACAGAGAGAGAGAGAGAGAGAGACACAGACAGACAGACAGACAGACAGAGAGGAGAGAAAGATCTCACCATCTGCTGAATTATTCAGTAACGCCATCAGCTCTCGCCCTGTGCTGTCGCTGTCCCTGGTGCCCACAACACATCTCCTGCTCTTTCTTTCTCTCTCTCTCTCTCTCTCTGTCTATCTGTCTCTCTTTTTCTTTTTCTCTCTCTCTCTCTATTTGTCTTTCTCTCTCTCTGTCTGTCTCTCTTTCTTTCTCCTCTCTATCTGTCTCTATCTTTCTCTCTCTCTCTCCCTGTCTGTCTCTCTTTCTCTGTCTATCTCTCTCTATCTGTCTCTCCTTTCTTTCTCTCTCTGTCTCTCTATCTGTCTCCATCTTTCTCTCTCTCTGTCTTTCCTTTCTCTCTCTGTCTCTCTCTCTATCTCTCTCTATCTTTCTTTCTCTCTCGTCTCCATCTCTTTCTCTCTGTCTGTCTGTCTCTGTCTGTCTTTCTTTCTTCCTCTGTCTCTCTCTCTCTCTCTCCCTGTGTCTGTCTCTCTTTCTCTCTCTGCCTTTCTTTCTCTTTCTCCCTCTCTCTGTCTCTCTCTGTCTGTGTCCCATCAGCAAACGATGCATCTTATTCCCTCAAAAGGTAGTTTTTTGTGGTGCAAAATGGCTCAACACATCTGAGATAGAGACACAATACCCCAGATTGCCTGGACCCACAGCCCACCCACCCACCCAACTACCCACCCATCAACCCACCCACCCAACTACCCACCCACCCATCAACCCACCCCCTCCCTTTTGCTCTTACCGTGATGCGAGGGATATTTTTCTTGCCTTGGTAAGACATGGTCCTCTCAAATCCAGTGCTATGCGACAAAGAAGGGGGATGGTGATGGTGATGGTGGGGATGGGGAGGGTTGGGGGGTGGGTGGGGGTGGGGGGGTTTGCAGGAGGCGAAGGGAAGCCTTTTGCAAGTGGTTTGGTCTGCTGGGTGGGTGGGTGGGTGGTGGGTGGATGTCTCTCTGTCTCCTCCTCGTTGGCCCCAATCCCTTCCCAACTGGGAGAGGCTCCAGCAATAGTGGTGTTAAGCTGAGCTGCAGCTTATAGACATGCGCCTTCCTCTAACCTCTCCACCCCCATACACACACACACACACACACACAGAGAGCCCACCCCCCCAGATAGCTTACCCCCTCAACCCCCTGATTGGCTCCATCACTCCAGTGTGGGGTTGGCAAACAGCACACAAGACCCTCCAATTCGCTGATGTCCTCAATTCCCTACTCCCAGCAGATGATCAGATGGGGTGGGCTCAACTCCAACACATCCCAGTGATTGCAATCTTGCTATCCCCCCCCCACCCCCCCACCACCCCCACCCCCCCCCATCTCTTCCCCCTGACACACCCTGTCCTCCTTCTGTGTGTTTTTTTTGTGCAGTGCAGTGCTTGATTTGCTTTTATACAGTACGTGCAAAAAAAAAATCACTCCCTGAATATGATTTAATATTCCTTCAGCCTCAACTGCTTTTCTCTCTCTCTCTCTCTCTCTCTCTCCCTCTCTCTCTTTCTCTCTATAGATATATCTATGTATCTTTTTATATATATGCTGCTTCTTTTTTTGGGGGGGGGGCTGGGGTATACAAAATAAAGCACGAAATGTACACAGTTGATTCGCAAAAATATAGTCAATTTCGCCCACAAAATGAACGGTCAATTCACTTTGCGTTATTATTCCGTGAAGCGCCTTTGTTTGGAGTGGAGGGGGTGGGGTGGGGGGACGTCTCGAAGGCGCGATAAGGAGCTGTACCGAACGCAAGGATTAGAATTATCATTATTACTATTATTGTTATCCTCAGAAATAAGAGAGAGAGAAAACGAGGAGGAGTGAATGAAAGGAGCGTGTGTGTGCGTGTGTGTGCGTGTGATTACTAACTGGTAACGGACAAACAAAGAGGTTCCATTAAGGTGGTGAGAGAAAACACCCTAATTATTTTAACCGTACCAACGGGATCCTTTTGTCTGGATTCCTGTTCACTCAGAATGCCCGTCTTTGTGTCCGCTAACCGACTGCCCGGGGCTAGAAGGTGACTGTCGCCGACAGATTTTGACGGAGGCTTTGCAGCTAGAATAAGGTGCAGATGTACTGGGGATATTAGCTGAGTGCTGCCTTTCTTTCCATCAAGGTGGCCTCCAGCCTCTTTTAGCGCGAGATCGCTGGCAGGACAGTGATGCGGTTGAGCTTCGGGACCTAAAGAGGGAGACGTTGAGCCCGTCTCACTTTTAAATCTGGTATCTTTACTGATAATATTAATAATAGTAACGTGTAATAATCCTTGCATTTGATACAGCGCTTTTCAGGTCTTCTCGACGTTCTCAAAGCGCTTGACGGGATAGACGGTAAAGTGACTTGACCGTATATTTGTGGGCGAAACGCGGCAGCAGCCAATTGCGCGCAGCAGCGTCCCCACAAACAGCCGTGGATTGAGTGACCAAATTATAACTAATACTATTTTGAAGGGATTATTACCCCCTGGAAAATGATCCGCCAATCGACTTACAAGCAACCGGGTTCCTACTTACTGTTGGGTAAACACAGGCGTGCGTGTGGGGTAAGGAAACTTGCCTAAGGTTTGCCTGACCCTCCCGGGAATCAAACCCACAGCCTCTCGCTTTGGGAGGCGAGCGCTCTAAACACTGCGCAAGAGATACGCTACAGGACTAAGGCCTATTTTAACAGAGTAAAAGGGAAGGTGATGCTGGCATCCAAGATACCTCAATTGGGGAGAGGGAGAGAGCTCCATCTTTCAGCCCATCCCGTTATCATGTACGAGTTCGAGGCTTCCCCCCTCCCACCGCTCCCCCAATCAAAAGGAGTCAAAGAATAACAACAACAATTTACACTTGTCTAGTGAGTGCCCTTCATGTCGGAAAGACGTCCTAAGGACCGCTGAACCGTCAGTGTTTTTTTGGACCTGTTGGGGTCAGGAGGGATGGAGGGCAGAGGGTGTGGAGATAGGAGGTTGGTCGAAGATACGGTCGAAGACGAAGGTCTTTAGATGGGACATGAAGGAGGCAAGAGAGGGGGTGGGGCAGAGGGATACCAGCAACCAGATGGTAAATACCTTGGTTTATGACACAAAAAGCATCTGGTTAAGGTACAGAGGAACTGGTTATGGCAGCCCTCAGAGATGGAATTAACCTCTAGAGTCACTGTAAAGTTCTTAGGAAAAGTCTTCGGGGCACTATCGACCTTAACCCTCAATTGCCCAGCACCACAAACTGACACCAAATTGTCCGTCCTCCCGAGGTAAGCAGAGAAATCAGCCGGACTGACACGTTTGAAATGACGACAAGACTATTTTCATTTGACCACATTGTCGGAAGCGAGAGAGAGAGAGAGAGAGAGAGAAAAAAAAAACCTTCTCTAGTTCTTAAAGAGAAAGATTTATCGGTCTCTCAATCCAGAGCGAAGCCACGCAACTGAAATAACTGCAAGTACAACAAAAAAAAATAAACCCTGCAGTTAAGTTAGGATTTTCCTTCCTCCTCCGTTAAAGAAATCACAGCAAAGTCAAAAAAAATGTGCTCACCTTCACACAGTTGTGTTGTGAGGCTGTTGGATTGGATCCACTCCGGGTTCCGAGTTCCTGATCTGCCTTGCCAACAGTTGTTTGAGCATCCTCTCTCCCCTTCATGTGGGCAGACCTGCCTGACGTCTCTTCGCTCATTCTCCTCCTGGAGCCACAACTTAGAGCGTCAAAATCAATACTTTTGCTTTCCGAGGAGTCGTCCACCGAAGAGAACATTCCCCCAGATTTCTGTCGAGGCTTGGGGCTGCCGGACCCCAGGGTGGCGAAGTAGGCTGGAAGTTCCTCTCCTACTGTCCCCCTCTTCATCGCGGCTTCTCGGACGGAACTGGGCAATTCTGCTGAAGCTTTACGGTTTTAGCGGCTTCAGCAAAAACGACCTCACGGTAACTTCAGGCAAGGATGACAATCCCTGTGATAGAAATTCTGTGGGGAATGGGGAATGGGGGGGGGGGAATCACTCTTCCAAATAAGGGATCACCATGCAATGATGTGATGAGTTGTCTGCACAAACACTGCATCATTAAACTGTATCAATCAAGGCGAGACTGAGGATGTGCATTGCGCTTCAGCCACCAGCTACAGTTCGCCAAACACACAGCGAGCGAGTCATTCTTAAAGAGGTACTGCACAGTGCCTCTCAAGGCTGATTCAATCTGATTCAAACACTTAACTCGAGAGGGAATGGATTCAAACGGTGGTGGGGGGGGGGGGGGGGGGGGAAGGAACCGGATGAACCGAGAGGTTGCTAATAAGTGGGAGCTCTCAGCGTTATCTAAAAGGAACCAAACTGATGAACCATTCATTCCCATCATTTACTTTTCCAAATAGCTCCTTTGCCATTAATCCACGGCTGTTTGCGGGGACGCTGCCGTGCGCGATTGGCCGCCGCGTTTCGCCCACAAATATTCAGTCAATTCACTTTACAGTATATTCAGTGAAACGCTTTGAGAAGCCTCAACGTGATAAGGCGCTGTGTCTAACGCAAGGATTACTATTGTTATTATAGAAACACTTTACAGAATTAGGCCGCACGGAAGTCAAGTGGGACCTTCTTAATGGGGCGAATGGCGTAGCTAATTCGAGCCAATCAGTCAGTCAGGTCCTACAGACACAAATCAGATCAGTGGCCAACTCATTAGAATAGTGTTTGGGGGGCGGTCAGGATAGACTGAGAGAGAGGAAAATAAATAAGTAAACAATTTCCTTTGAAGTAGTGGTGATCTGAGCCCCTCAATTTACAAGGCGATACCGACTGGAATTAATGATCCGGTTGCAAAAAGGAAGAGTGATGCCAAGAAGAATCGGTCGAACACGGACACACCGCACAGTCGTTGCTTTGAAGGTCATGTACCCTTTGGCGTCTCATCGTACTGCAGGACCAAGTTACAGAGCCAGGGTACAGTACTGTATTGCGCTGTACAGTTCAGTGGTTAGAGCCCTCGCCTCGCAAGCGAGAGGACCTGGGTTCGAGTCCCGGGCGGGTCGCGTCAGGGCGAAACGTTGGGCAAGTTTCCTTACTTCACACGTCTCGGTTTACCCAGCAGTAAGGTGGAACCCAGTTGCTGGTCGATTGGTGGATCGCTTTTGCG